TACAGAGAGGTCTTATGTACCCTTCACCCAGTTTCCCCAGTGGTAACACCTTGTATAACTGTAGTGCAGTATCAAAGCCAGGAAAGACATTGGTACAATCCACTGGCCATATTCAAGTCTACCAGTTTTACACGGAGTCATTTGTGTGCGTGTGTATGTGTTTCAAATTAGTATTAGGTAACTATTAGTACCTGATTGACACTGGATATTACAGATTGCATTTTACATTGACAAGACGGCAGTGTAGAATTATGTAATGGATTCTAGACTGGAAGTCAAGTCATCTAAGTTCTAGTATTGGCTTTGTTATTTGAAATTTGTTTTTTAATAATAGCTCCCCCCCACCCCAATTAATACTGACTTTGCAACAGGAAATTGTGATGAAGAAAATAAAAATTATTAACTCACCTTCTCATGTTAGCTTTTTGGCATATTTCTTTCCAGTGATTTTCTGTACATGTGTTTATGTTGTATATGTGCAAATTGTTTAAACCTTTTTTACTGTAGAATAATAACATAGATACCAAAAACAATAATAAAACAAATGTGTAGCTTATTGAATAAGGTGAACATCCTTGTTACTGCTATTCACGTTAAGAAATAGAACTTTGCCAGCTACTCTGGAAGCCCTCTGTGCCCTATCTTAATCTCAAGCCCCTTTTTTCTCCCTAAAAGTAACCACTGCCCTGACTTTTATGGTAATCATTTTTTTAATTTCTTCATAGTTTTATTACCCAAGTGTAAAATCCCTTTTAATCTAAAGGAAACCCTTGTCTATTCCCTCTCCTCTTTTTCCTTTTGCAATTTATTGAAGAATATGAGTTGTTGGCTCAGTATAGTTTTTCACAATCTGCATTTTGCTGATTGCATTGTTATGGTATAGTTTAACGTACTTCTCTGTTCTCTTTATTCCTGTAATTGATAGTTGTATTTAGAAATTGTGATTTCCTTCTTTCCTTCCTCCCTTCCTCCCTCCTTCCCTCTCTTTCTCTTTCAAGTATCATTATGAACTAACTCCACTGCCATTGAGTCGATTCCAGCTATAGGACAGAGTAGAACTGCCCCATAGGGTTTCCAAGGCTGTAAATCTTTACTGAAGCGGTCTGCCACATCTCTCTCCCGTGGAATGACAGATTTTCAAACCGTAGACCTTTTGGTTGGCAACTGAGCACTTTAACCACTACGCCACAAGGGCTCCCTTCATTATGAACTAGTGGATTTAAATATATTGTATTTCACTCCACTGCAGTTATCCTAATCAAAGATGCAATTGCCCTGTTCTGGGTGCATAGGAGTCTCCTTACTGTCTTTGATAGCTTCTTTGCTATCTGATATGTCAAGATGTTCCCAGTTCATCTCATACATTTCCTGCCCTAGACCTGAAATTAGCCACTTCTCCAAGAAGTCTAGTTTCTTTTAGTAGGAAATGGTATTTTAAAACCAAAATCTGGGTACTAGGAATGGTCATTGTTTCTAGCCTTTTAAGTGGGCAGAGTTC